CACCAAGTTCTATAGAAGAAATAGTTACTCAGAGTAGCAGAATTTCCACTAAGGAAGCAAGTGAATGAATATATAGGGGCAAAGCAGCGGCTGCTTGCCTACCCAGAAGGCCAATTAATTTTGTCCATGGTAATGTCACTTTTTCCTTGGGAAGTGTACTGATGGGACCGCCCGGGATCCCCCCGGGGCCCCCTTTATCAGGTCGCATGGATGCTGCTACCCCATAAAAGTCGAGAGGTATCGAGACCTCGGGGGACTTTTTGCTGTCACAAGCATCGGCCCCAAAGAAGCTATCAACCTAACTTCAATATAGGACTCGATTTCAGGGGCCCCGATCGCTCCAAGTAGAGGCTCCAAAAAAAAGTTAGTGTTAAAATTCAAAGATTAACTCCGCAAAGCAACGAGATATAAAAAACAAAAAGACTTGGGGCAGAAAAACCCTTTTGCATTGCCAAAAATATATTTACAAGGGACGTCTTTACGAGACTCATTCCCCCGGGAGTACATGCACAGAAAGAAAAAAGCATAAACGACATAAGGCCTACTCTTCATTGCCACTATCCTCTAAGCTATCTCCAGGATCTTCGTCTAAAGCGACCAAGAGCGCCGATTTTCTCTCCGCCTCTAGGGCCTCCTCAATCTCGGCTGAAAGATCGACACCTCTGGTTCCGACCCCCTCCAAGGCTTCCCTTCTCGCCTTCGCTCTAGCATGCTCGATAGCCCGGGCCAGTTTTAGCTCGGCCCCTATCGATTTCTTACAGGCTATTTGATTCGCCGTGGCTGCATCCTGCAGATAAGTGGCAACCTTTCCTTCGATCTCAGACTTGGCCGTAGTCAGCGCAACAACCTCCTTTCGAGCATTTTGGAGAAGATCATGGGTCGATGCCAACTCCGAGGCCGCCACCCTATTTCGTTCCTTCAGCCCGAGGGATCTCCATATCCTTTTGCCCGATTAGCGAATCCCTTTGACCGATCTGCGAAGAGAAAGGTAAGACAATCAGTATCGAATTATGGGAACGAAGGGTGGACTCATGCATAACAAAATACCTGCTCAGCAAGAGTAGCCTTCTCTCGGAGTGCTCTCTCCAAAGCAGCTCGGAGCTCGCCTAACTCTTTCTCCTTTCGGGCAGAGTAAGCCTCCGACTCTCGCAGTCCCAAGGTCAGCCTTTCAAGCTCCTTTTCACGGCATGAAAGCTCATTAAGCCTAGATAGGGCATGATCATACATCTCCTTACACTATAACAAAACAGAAGAGATAGAAGAATGAAGAAAAATGCTCGAGACTAAAGGAAATATACATAAAACAGCTATCACCTGCTGCATGAACCTCTCTACCGCCTTGACAGAGCTGGGAGCGTCAAGATCGACGTTCTCGCTAACATTGTCAAGAATATTGCCAAGCGCGCTTCCCCGCTTGAGAGGACCCCCGATTTTGGCGGTATTCGCATCTTGAGCATCCCTTAGCTCCCCTAACGAGAACTGAGGGCCCAAACTAAAACCATCTATGTCATCGATGTCTCCAATGGGCAACTCCTGCCCCCGAAAAGCTCCAAGTCCCCACCATTCAGGATCAGGGGCAACAGTCCCCTCAGCGAAAATTGCACCAAATCCGGTCATGGGATCCGAGACCACATTGACACCCTCCTCGAAGGTCTTCGATTAACGGGACCGACTTGAGTTGGTCGTTCCCGATTCAACAGCCTCCGGTCGAGGCACCTGCGAGGCTCCCGCGCCCGACCTCATCCTCCATGCCAACTGGCACTCTCCCTCATCATCATCATCATCCTCATCTTCGACGCCGGGGCTCGCTCCGGAAGTTGAAGTCGAGGTCCTAGTAATGGCTCGAGGCACGCGTGACTTAGGTTTCTTTGCCGCGGGAGGATCGGCAGCCGCCTTACCTTTCCTTTTCTTGCCATTGGCGGGCTCCAAAGTCTCCATCTCACACCAGGGAGCGGCCTTATCCGCATATTCTCACTAAGGCCTGCACGAGCGCAGTGACTGTAACTTATCAGCACAAAGGATACAAAAGAAAAACATAAATCTAAGACATAGTGGCAAGGAAGCTTTACCATGATTCTTGGCCACCCACCGGTTCTTAGCCAGGTCAGGCCAAGACCAAACAAGATATGGGAATGCGGTGTCCAACCGCTCGATCCATCCCGACAGATCCGAGACCGCTTTGGGGTACTAGGCGGTAGCTGCAGAAACAAAAACAGGTCATTTCTCCGGAAGAAGGAAAGAAAATCAAAAAACATGTCCGAGGAAAAAAATGCCTACGCTGTGTGTTCCACTTCTCCGGGAAAGGCATTCTCCCGACCGGAATAATGTCTGAGGTCCTCACCCGGATGAACCTACTCATCCACCCTCGATCCTTCTCCTCATCGGTGCTCGAGAAAAATGATTTTTTGGTTCGGTGTTGAAGCCTAATCAAACCTCGATAAAATCTAGGGCTGTACAACCTAATCAAATGGTTGAGGGTAAAGGTCTCGCCTGAAGCCCCATCGGAGTAATGGCGGAGCATCAAAACTATCCTCCAGAAAGAAGGATAGATTTGACCGAGTGTCACTTGGTATTTGTTGCAAAAATCGAGGATAACCGGATTTATCTTCGGGGGAGGGGATTTAGAAGGATCGACGGGACCCAAAGTGAACGGGTAAGTATATACATGAAGGAAGCCAGCCTTGTCATCCGTTATATTCTCATCAGGGCTAGGAATCTCCATCTCTACTGCCTCCCTCCATCGGCAGTCTTTCCTCACCGTCCCTATGTTGGTAACGACACTAATGTATCGGGACACGTGTTCACATCGACCCAGTGTAGATGAAGTGTTATCGAGGGTAAAGTCCTTCGACATGTCAAGCTCGTTAGGAGTACATTGTCCCAATGTGGGTATCACTTTGGGTTTTCCTTTAGATGTTCGAGATGAAGAAGCAGCCTCGTCTTTCTGAGGAACCGTCTTGGAGGTTCTGGCCATGATAATGATGAAATTTCTTTAAGAAAGTAAGAAGAAAATATGCGAAAGGGGATGAATCTAGCGTTGCAAATTTGAAGATGTTGAGAAAGTAAGAATTATCAAACGATTGGTGCATTTATAGGAGCCGAATGGGCAGCGGAAGGGACGAGCTAATAACCAGATTCGTGGGCTTCTCGATAGTCGCGTTTGACGGCGACCCTTGCACGGTTTTTTTGGGCATGTCATTTACTGCGATGATGCCTTCGAAATGGCAGCTCAAAATCATTACCAATCGCTTCGTTCTAGGAAACGCGGGGACTATCTGTATACGGTGAAATCAGAGGGTCCAATTTCTCGTCGTTAAGGCACTTCAGAAGATCACCTCGACGGCTCGAGGCCGCGGCCGAGTATCCTCCCTCGAGGGTCGTCGACACTCGACCTCAGGGTAGTAATGATCTCAGCTATAGTAGAAATGGGGAGTTCCCAAGGCACATGGCTAGGACTGACAAGGCCTAGTGAACTACCCTAACCCTTAATGAGGATGTCATCTAGCTGTCCCATCTCCGCTTCTTTGTCATCAATGTATTTTGTACTATGTTGGGATTCCCCTCCTATATAAAGGGGATCATTGTCATTTTGTAAATCTCTATTGCTTGAGCTACCCTACACGAAATATACAAGAACATTCTCTTTGCTCTCTAACACATTCTCTTGATATTATCGCTTCTATTTATTATCTTCATTATTGTTCTTCATTTATTGCTTATTATTGGCCATAAAGAGCCTTCGTTGATTTTATTATAACTGTTAGCCATACTTCGACCACCTTCGATAGCTCCCTGCCGAGCTCCGAAATCGACCTCGAGGCCCCCGAATTGACAAGCTCGAGGCCCCGATAACCAACCTATCGGTTTGATTATCACCCTATCCTTAACTCTCATTTCATTTCTAAGTCTCACGTACATAACATCAACTGTTTAACAACCAACATAAAAATAGATCACGTATTTTTAGAGTCTCATAATCAAATTTAATTGTTATTACCATTTTCACGGTAAACAAGCGCTAAACTGTTTACCCGAAAAATAGTATAGTTGAATTTATAGCATCATTTATAGATAAGAGAATCGATTTGATCCCAAAATGATTAAAAAAATAAGAACAAAATAAGATTAACAATTGAAATTAGAGAAAATAGCAAGCTCGATTCTGGGCAAAAGCAGAAGCAATGACAATTTTATAGATTGAGCGTAAAATAGTATACTATCGCTTCTGTGTACAAAACGTTTTTTTACAAGAGTTGCCAATATAATATTTATAGCTATTCCCAGGAGGACATGATCCTAAAATCAAGCTCCTCTTGAAAAGAATAAAACTGTCATTGATGGGTGCATAACGGTTCCTCATTAAATACTATCCAATGTCAAGCATTTGAGCCTTTACCATCGATTGTGCTTGCTTCGGGATCCATCCAGTATCAGTTACGCACTTCGTAACCGATGCCAATTATTTACCGACTCAACTTCTACCTGTTCTTGATTCCACGTATCGCCTCGTTATTTAGCCACTTGTTATCAACCAATTTCCCCCCTACATTAATTTAAGTGTGTGTGTATACATACACACATACACACACACAACAACAACAACAAAATCCAGTTTGATCCCTTAAATGGGGTCTGGGGAGGGTAGTGTGTACGCAGACCTTATCCCTACCTCATAGAGATAGAGAGGCTAATATATGTATATATATACTCGAACAGCATGCATGCACCTCAACTATTATATTATGTATTTCTTCATTTTACCAGCACAAGGATCGAACAATTCTATCCACCAAAGTTTGAATATATGGGAAAGAATCAATTAACTTTCTTTTATTTCTATTGGAATTTGAAATCGATCTTCCATGATTTTCATCCACTTCATTGACCCAAGACATATCCTTTGATGCAAGCACGATTTAGAAAAAATTTAAGTTAGTAATCAAATGAGGCTAAATAAAAGGAAGAAGTAAAGCCAGTTACCATACCTANTAAAACATGAATTACCCACTAACAGGAACTAAAATTGAATAACATCAAACTGCAGCATGTTACTGACTTTAGTGGTGACATAATTAAATTTACATTTTCGAAGTATATTCAGGTACCTTTAAAGATTTCCTGCTACAGTTTCATATTTGACCATTACTAACAGAATCAAACCTCAAGGTCCTGAACAATTTTCTGGACTTAAAGTTGCAGCAGGCTATAATAGTTAAATAGTAGCATACTCTATTTAAAGGGCAATCTAGTGCACTAAGCTCTCGCTATGCAGGTTCGAGGAAGTTCCGAACCATATTATATGCAACCCTACTTGCCTTTTTGCAAGAGGTTGTTTCCATGACTCGAACCAGTGACCTCCAACTACACGCGACAACTCTTGTTGATGCGCCAAGAATTCCCTTCACAGGGTTTATTGAAATAAGAAAATATCCAGGATACCATTCAACTAGATATCATTCATCACTATGCCAGTAGGTCCTCATCCCGTCAACAAGAGGCTGACCATGAAGAAAGCAAGTATGATTTATAGTTTCGTGTGCTATTCCCATAGCACGACACGAAGTTAAGGATACCTGCTTCGATTGGCTCAGCAATATCCTTTTCTCGCTTCTCTAATACTCGAATAAACTCGTCTGAGCTTAAATTTCCATCACGATTTGTATCGAAAACATGGAAGACAATTTCTATCACATTGTCAGTGAGAGATACTCCACATACCTGTTTAATACTTGGTCAGAAGAAACTTGAAAACTAAACAAGCAGCTAAACATATAAAGAACGTTCCAGTTAAAACACCAGAGGTACAACACAAGAGTATCATTCTCCAGCCAAGGACAATCCTGAAATGACTTCACGATGACGATGGAAAATATTATCCAACAGGGAGTTGAAAAGGTAAATGTCAAATGCATGCATGCACACATGGGAAAAGCTGACTGATAGATGGAAGAGAGAAACAAAGAACGCATACCTGAGAAGCAGCTCTTTTAAAATCACTTCTTGTCAAATGACCATTCACTTGCCCGAAACAGAAAAGTGCTAGTGAAAACGGTTGCAGCTTCTTCCGCAGCTCAGCAAAACTTTTGAATTCCTCAAATGAAATCTTAGTACGACTTAGCGGTGACTCATTATCTAAATCATCAACTCGATCAAGCAACTTGTTTAAGTACTTCAAATCAGCAGCAGCAACCATGGACAGGGCAAAATCCTTTGCTGAAATGGTCCCCCGAAACTTGTAATCATAGTGGGCAAACTCCAATTTTAGTATCTGTGAAGCATATAAATTACAACAGCGTAGAATTAGCAATTCAGGATCACATCTGAGAGAAGGGAGGGAATATCACTTTTACTAAGTTCATTGATGATGGTCTATATGTAATTGACATTCGTAGCTAGGGGAGAGGGGGTGTCAAGCACGGAACACCAAAATATACACTCTTTGCTAATCTAACCCTATTCGTCATGCACCTTGGTCATTCACAAGCTGACCAAACACACAGGTTAAGTAAGATCTTTCCCTCCTTTTCCCTACCCAATTATAACAGCAGAACATATCCCACCTATATTCTTCTTAGACACAAGTCCCAACAAAAATGCAGAAAATAAGAAATTACTTATCTACTAAAATAAGTAATATATACAGAGACATAGTAATAAATCCTGAAACCAGGTGCTTTTGAGTAATGATTTGAACGTTACCATAATAAATGCAACTGGCTTTCCTTCAAAAATAATAGTAAGGGTAATTACAATAACCATAAGATAAGGGAAGGATAATTGAAAATCATTGCAACACAAACGACATATAGTAACTGGACAATGGCAAATAAAAGTCAACTAGTTCTTGTTTTCTGTTTTCCCTATTTTGCATGTGATGATTAGAGTTCACATACCTCTTCATGCAGATCTCTCAAGAATCGGACAAATCTGTCATATTGGAGGCGTTTCTTCCCATCTTCACCAAAGAAGTCTTGCAACAGACCTCCATTCTCTACATGACCACCTAAATTACGCCCCCCTCGAAGTCCATCGCTGTGATGAGCACCTTGTCTATTGTGAGCTCGCATCAAAGTCATTACTTTCTTGAATTCATCAATGTCTATCTCGCTGTCGCAATATAAGAACCAACTAATTAGACCAGACAAAGTTATTTCTTTGTAAGTCTGACAGATATACCGACAGTATGAGAAACATGACGGCGTGAATAAAACACATACAATTGATCAACTTGAGCTTCTGGTGTTCATCCCTCAAACCTCCCCAAATAAATAAGTCAACAGTCATTCTATCATGCAAATTGACTGAAAAATGTCATCTCTACAAACAATTGATATTACCTTAACAAAGTAACAGCTAAGTCCAATCATTAAGTTGTTATTATCAAAGCCATAGAGCTCAACACTTCCATACTCAATCACCATAATATGCAAACAAAAACAAATGCACAGTTAGTTTAATTATGACGGTGATATATCTACTTTTTCTTCACAGTTCTTAACATGATTTTAATAGAGTCGAGAAAGAAATAAAACGATAATCATCAAAGTGTCCTTATCTAAGTCGCGCACAATTATACGTTACTGAAGTAGAAAACAGAAATTTTCCAAGCTCGCAACTAGCATAAATCAGTATACAAAACTGGAAACTGCTTCCACATCCCAGCGCAGAAGTAAACATAAGGAGGTACCTGCCATATCCTCATATGTGTTCACTAATTGACATGACAGATCCCCCGTATGCTAGGTCTTACATTCTTATCAAAGTGATCTATCAAACTTGTGGAAAAAGTTTGTTATATATTCTTTTTCCCCTTTCCGAGCATACTCCTTTATAGAGATCCATAGGTATTCGATACAATCCAAGCACCACCGTGGTCCACAGGAAAACAAGATTGCCAAGATTTCAATCTCACGAGGGAAAAAAAAAACTTACAAGAAGGGAAAGAACAATTTTAGTTGCATCCCTGCTTCACAAATTTCAATATTCAAAAGTTGAAAATAGACTCCTACCCATTACTGTCGAGATCAAACATCTTGAATGCCACTGAAAAACTTGATTCAGGGATGCTCAGCAGGGTGACAAAGAATATATACCTGTGAATTTTCAAGAAATTAAAGACTTTTTCAGTCTTTAACATGAGTATGGCTATAACTCAACCTGAATGATTCTAAAGCTTAAATGTGAAATGGAAGTAACTCAGGAAAAAACAGAGAAAGCCAAGATAAGGGGAAGATAACTTCATTATGGAAAAATAATGAATTGAATAGAGAAAACAAGAGATTTTATGACTGCATTGAGACTTGGGACTCACTCTTTGAAAGATACGTGGCCATCACTGTTTGTGTCAAAAAGCATAAAAAACTTTGAAGGGGCACATTGCAGTTCACCTGGACTTCTTTCACCTCTAAGATATCCATCTCTCACGAGGTGTGATTCAGATGGAGGGAACACAGGAACAACTGCTCTCATTAGATCTGCTGGTGTCATAAATATTTCTCCATCATCGGCTTCAAAAGATGCAAAGTACTCAAACACCTTCGAGAAAACCACAAAATGTTGAAACAAAAAGTTAACTATGGAACCTCATGTAAATCACAGGCTTGATAGAGATTTTTGGAGGATTCTAGAGATGAAAAATGAAATCTTTTCAGTTTACAAACACAAATATAATATCCCAGTATACAATTAGAAGCGAAAAAAATACTTTCAGCCAATTCGAGAAATGTCATCAAGTAGGTCAGGGAAGTCCAAAAGGGCCGCTTGGACGCCCAAATTGTTCAATTCTTGCTGCAACATACATGTCAAATGCAGTTCAACCATGAGATCTTGCTTTTCCAGAGCTTTCAGACTAGGGCACCATCACCAACATCTCTAAAAGTATTATAGGGGAAAGTGAAGCATAGAAGGTTGTCTTCACAGGACCACTTAAAGGACACAATGCACCTACTACAGGGAATTTTCCTGACCGATGATGCCATGCACTAAGTCCAATATTACTACAATTAAATATTACCAGACTAAGGGGATTATCCACCAAAAAACCTTCCCTTATACACCATAACCAAATAGCATGGTAGAGCAAAAGCATAAATATCTCCTTGAGGCTGCACAGGGCACTTCTATTTCATCAAAATTACCACCCAAGTATTAGGGGGAATGCATCCTGACTACAACTGACATCATCAATAAGACTCCCTACAACCTATTGGAAAAACAAATGCCTTTTTTGAGCTTATATATATAAGAAGAAACCAAATTACTCTTACCTAAAATCTTTTGGCTGCCTTTGTTACTCCATTGTCCCTAAAGTCCATAGAGACAAATTTGTACCAAGAATCATCCCTTATGTTTTTGTAGGATATCCCTTTGGGATAAAAGGCTACAAGTTGCTGAGCTTGGCCGCTCAGAGGATACATGTTTCTAGAGATGTAGTGTTTCATGAAAGTGTTTTTCCTTTTACTCCATCTTCTGACAATACTAGTTTTCCATCAGTGCTTAAATTTGTTCCTTTTGTTGATTGTTTAGCTAATGAAAAGTTATTATCATAGAGATTTGCATGTTACATCACCTAATATGCCACCTCCTCATCCTTCATCACCATTACACTCCACCACACACATGTCACCAGATTGGGGTAGTAAAATGGTTAAAAGAAAACAGTTAACCACCCATATTATCCACTAAAAATGGGTTGAATAATGAACTTTTTAAAAATGGATAAAATATGGATAAGAACCATATTATCCATTTAGAAAATGAATAACCAATGGATAACTAATGTGTCTAACTTTTACATTTGTAAAGCATCAAATTGGGGGGTTCCTCAAGTTAGGGAGACTAAGAATTCTCCCAAAAGTGATCACATGCAAGAAATCATAGATAATATGGTTACCCATATTATCCGCCGGTTAACCCGTTTTTTATCCATATTAAATATGGGTTGGATCTGATACTTTATCCGTTTTTATTACCCGTTTCCGACCCGACCCGCCCGTTTGCCACTCCTATCACTAGAGACCTTTTTTTTAAAAAAAAAAAAAAGGTCTCTGGTGCATAATCAGAGACTTCCTCAGTGCATAATCAGTATCCGGAACCACAACCCTTAGAATCTAGGAAATCTCACGGGCAACACAAAACTCTTGACTATCTAAATGACTACATTTACACCATTTCTAATCTCAAGCCAAATACCACACACAACCATGCTTCATCCTCTCAGGCTAGTTCCTGTTTATCTATCAATGCACTAGTTTCTGTAAACGACCACATTTCACCTGAAGTTCCAACTCCCGCAAGTCAATCACTTGTAAGAAATGTTTGTCATAACAGTGAGTCCTCATCATATGAGGGTAGCATTCAATCCTACTTGGCAAATCAAGGGATTCCTGGGGCACGAGTTAACCATATAGTTGACTGCTCTTTCTTTCGAAAACAACTATGACACAAGAGTTTGAAGCCTTATATGCAAATAACACTTGGGACCTGTGCCTTTGCCAGATGGTAAGAAAGCAATTGGATGCAACTGGGTGTACAAGCTAAATACAAAGCTAACGGCAGTATAGAGAGATTTAAAACCAAATTGGTTGTTAAAGGATACATACAACATGCTGGAATAGATCTGTTGTGAAGATGAACATACTTAGAACATTGGTGGCTACTGCAGTCAAGATAGGATGGGCTATTTTTTCAACTTCATATGAACAATGCCTTCCTCCATGGAGATTTGCATGAGGAAGTTTACATAAAGGTCCCACTAGGGATTGAAGTTGACCATCCAGGCTTGATTTGCAACTTGAACAAATCTTTGTACGTTTAAAGCAAACCAGTAAACAATGGTATGATAAGTTGACTGAGGCTTTATCTTTTGAAGGTTACACTCATTCCATGCATGATTACTCTCTTTTAGAAGAAGACATGATCACTAACAGTCTTTGTAGCTGTGTGTGTTGATAATTTCATACTCGTAGGCACACATTCTGCAGAGACCACACAGCTGAAGGTTTTCCTACATGATACATTTAGATCAAGGATCTTGGCAGGCTGCATTATTTTCTAGGGCTGAAAATCATATAGACAGATGATGGAGCTATTATTTCTAGGAGGAAACTTGGTCTAGATTTATTGGAAGAACATGACTATTTCAACTACAATAGCTTATCCTCATCGCTTGATCCAAATGTTAAGTTGAAGGCTAAAGAGGGAGCAACACAACCAGATCCATCTTACTATAGAAAGTTGGGAAGTTATTCCTGACAAATACAAAATTGGTTATAGCTTACAGTGTTCAATATCTAAGCCAGGTCATGCAAGATCCCAGGGAGCCTCACTTGCAAGAAGCTTTCCATTTGCTAAGGTATCTAAAGAAAAATCCTACATGGGGATTTTCATGTCCAAAGATTCTGACTACACAATTAAAGCTTACTGTGACTCTGAGTGGGTTTCATGCCCCGATTCTAGGAAGTCAGAGGGTATGCAAATTGGATTGGAGAGCAGTCCTGTGAGCTGGAATTCCTAAAAACAAGAAACCATTTCTTTGTCCTCAGCAGAAACAGAGTATAAGTCATTGAAGATAGTAGTTGGGAATTGGTATGGCTGGGTAGAATTTTTTAAGAATTAAATGTCCCTTTCTCCACTCCAATTGTTGTACACTGTGACAGTTAATCTGCTATACGTATAACCAGAAATCCTGTTTTTCGTGAGAGCACCAAGCATATAGAAGTTGATTGTCATTTTGTGAGAAACAAGCTTCAAGATGGCCTGATTTTACTTCATCATGTGGCCACTACTGAGCAACTTGCTGACATACTAACCAAGGCCCTCACTGGGATTAAGCATTCATCAATTCTGGGGAAGTTGGTTGTGAGAGCCTCACCACCAACTTGAGGGAGGGTATTGAGCTTATCTATCTTGTTTGTATTACACATTTTAATTGGTTAGTTAACTTAGCTTAGCTGGTCAGTTAGTAGTGCTTAGTTGCTTAGCTGTTAGTTAATGGAGGTTAGTCACAGTTGTTGACAGCTGTCAGTGCACACATGCACACTTGCTCTTACCTTTGTATATATACATATACATACAGTACACCAATGAAGCAGTTGAGTTTTCTCTCGCAAAATCATATTTCTCGCTCAAGCTTCTCTTCGTTGTTTCGTTCATAGATCTCTCTAGAATCACCATTGGAGCTCCTCTTGAGCTCTATTTGATATGTAACTCTGCTAAGTTTGATAGTATCCAAGTCCCAAAATGGGGTTATTACATGCTAAAAATGTTATTTAAGTGCTAACGACGACTACAAATATGGATAATACCATTTGGTGATGTGGATATGTGTGGGATGTGATTTGGACTTTGGAAGGTTATAAGGATGTTTAGGAGTGGAGAGAAATAGTTTGGAACAAGTTGGAAATATTAATGGGAAAGAACACCCAAAGTAACACATAACCTAACTTCAAAGGAGCTGAACTCTTAATGTTTAAAGAATTTGGATATGGATAAAACTCTGATATTACTAAGTTTATCATCAATAGAAAAATATAAACAATCAAAGTCTACATCACATTGCAAAAGATTCTGAACAGCTTTCCCTCATTTGATTACAGGAAACACCAAATTTAGTCGTCCACATACTAGTCAACGAAACAAAAATATGTTTTTAAATTTATTAGTCAATTAATTACATGGAGAAGCTATAGAAGAACTATTGATGGGCAAATTACAAACAAGCTTAATGAAAGCATAAATATTTGTTGACTTAAATATAAGTTACAATTACCTTTTCAGGAGGACTTCGCATCCGGATACGCTTTTCATAATTAAAGAATACTTTTCTTCTGTAAGCATCTGCAAAATACAAGTTAACCGTAGTCATATCCAGAAATAAGAAAGATACAGTAGCATTAGCATAATAAATCAGAATTTAGTGGAAATTACCTCCAATGAGATATTTCGGTGGAGGATGATGAAGAGATTGTGAAGTATCAGCAAAAGACAAAGAAGGATTGGGGAAAGAATAAGAGTAAAGTGCGAAAGCTAAAGTGATTCCACCAACCCATTTGAGGAAAGAAATTGGACTGCTTTCTGGATGCTGCTGAACATTATCACTTCCACTTAAATGACGAACATACAGACGATGGACCGAGCGCGGAGATCGCCGGAGAGCTGACCAAGCTGACATTCTTTTGTCAAATACTAGACTCTGAATCGGTTAACGCTTAATTGATAAAATATTAGTGGGGGAAAATAGGATAAAAGCCTTTTCACTTATCTAGTGTTGGTAAAGAAGCTATTTGCCCCTTTTAATAGCATAGTCGCGATTGAAAGATTAGTGTAACTTAAGTCCTTTTACCACAATTTCTTAACAGGAAAATTACTACAGTAAACTCGACCACAATTCACACCTCATACAAATAATTACTACTTGGAGATGTGCATTGCAATTCTTTTTCAAATAACTCAAACTTTAATATTTAGTGCACAAAGATAATAGTTAAGACCCAACAGATTGACACCTACCATGCAGATATTTATATTTCCATATCAATTTTACAGTCAAAATGTTTTTGGACACATCAGTGTATGTCCGCGTAATTATGAAGGATACAGCGCAAAAAGAAGGTTTGTGGAAACAAAGAATAAGATTAAATTGTGTTTCTATGAACAAAATGCCTTTCAATTTGTGTTTGTTCAAAGCAAATCAGAGAAACATATCTTAGATGAAGAAATTGAGTTGTTTTTATCTTTTATTATTTTTAGCATAGTCACGTAAAGGGGAGTTATAGTTCTTGTAAAGCCTCCCAAATTTTCCTATAAATGTGAGGCCTTAAAGCACAAAGTCATGAGTCGCTTGCTTACCTTTTTGCATTCAAGTTGTGGTCATTTTACAGGACACTGTCCCATTTGTGCGCTCAGTTGCGCGCTGGGATTGCCAGGTGCACGGCACGATCCGACCGATTGTTTTGAGCAATTGTACTTCGTTCGTTGGTTTGAGGTCTTGAATAGCTTCATATGGTATATTATGACTTGGGTGTATTATCGGTTTTAGTTTTCAGGTGGTTCGGGATTGATTTGGAAGAATAATTCTCATTTTGAAAACTTTAAGCTGGAAGAGTTGACCAAGTTTGACTTTTGTGTATTTGACCTTGAATCGAAGTTTTGATGATTTTGTTAGGTCTGTATGGTGATTTTGGATATGCCCGGATTTGCATTTGGATGCGTCTAGAAGGTTTTGGCCATAATTGGCGAAAGTTGGCAATTTGAAGGTTCATAAGTTTGACCGGGAGTTGACTTTGATGATATCGGGTTCGGATTGCTCTTCCGAGAATTGGAATAGGTTTGTTATGACATATGAAACTTGTGTGCAAAATTTGAGGTGCATCCGAGTTGCTTAGACATGTTCAGTGTAAGTTTAGAATTTGGAAACTTGAAATAGTTCGTTAAGCTTGAATTGAGGTACGATTCGTCGTTTTGATGCTGTTATGTGTGATTTGAGGCTTCGAGTAGGTTCGTGTTATGTTTTGGGACTTGTTGGCATCTTCGGACGGGGTCCCGAGGAGTTCGAGTGTGCTTCAGATTGATTTTGGATCATTTCAGAAATTGAATGAGTTGTTGGTTTCTGATACTTCAGGTGTTCTTCGCAATCACGGTGTGTATATGGGAGCTGGGTGTTTTTACTCTACGCGTTCGCGGTAGGTAAGACGCGTTCGCGGAGGTTTAGTGGCTAGCTGGTCGCATTCGCAAAGTCGGGGCACGTTCGTGATTCTTGGGTGATTAGTGATTCACGGTCGCGTATATGGGTCGTGATCGCAATGCTTGGCAGGCTTGGCTGGCGTTTGTTCCACGCATTTGCGAGGGTATTGCCGCGAACGCGAAGGCTTATTCAGGGCAGTGTGAATTTTTTCTTCTACGTGATAGCGAGGGTCATGTCACGATCACGATACATATAACTGGGCAATGATTATAAAGTACTCTATTCGGACCTTGAGCTCATTTTATCACATTTTGAGTTGAGGAGCTCGAATTTTGGGCAATTTTGCAGAGGATTTTCACCACATGGATTGAGATAAGTATTTTCTACTCGGATTTAATTATATCACATGATTCCATCTTTGATATTGGCATTTGATTGATGAATTTAAAAGAGAAATTTGGGGTTTTCTACTAAACTTTCCTAAAGTGAATAATTGGATATTGAACATTGATTCAAAGTCGGGTATAAGTGAAATTAGTATGGTTGGACTCATATTTGAATGTGTTATCGAAATTTATGAGTTTGGTTAGGTTCTGAGGTGCGATCCTGGGTTGCCTTTTTGGCTGACTTTGAGTATTTTATTAAAGATTCAACCTTTATCGCTTGAGTTTGTTTTCTAAGGCTGTCACGACTAAAAATTCAACTAGCCGTGTTGACACCTAACCCAACCAGCTAAGGTAAGCTAATTAACAATAAACCATAATATATTGATAATGATAAGAGTCAAGAATGAAATAACTAAATTTTGTACAACCCCTCTCCCAAGGACTGGTAGTACAAATCATGTGCTTCTCTTAGAGTTTGCAAAACTGGTATAAAATAAATACATCATCTGTTCGAAGGTTACATAAACAGATTTATAAATCTAAAGCTACCAAGAAAAAGAGGCAGCTATAACCAGAATGCAGGTACATCTTCAATGTCAACTCCCACCATACACAACAGAATTAGCTCCAAAATCTGCACGCAATGTGCAAAAGTGTAGTATAAGTACAACGGACCCCATGTACTCAATAAGTAACAAACCTAACCTTAGGTTGAAAGCAGTGACGAGCTTGGACAACAGTCAAAGTCCAACGCCAACAACCAAGAATAATTCATAACAATATAATGAAAACAGTACAAGTAATACTCAAAGATATGAAGCTCAGCTTGTTCATAGTTAAAAAAAATAGGCATGCTTTTCAGGTATAACAGTAAAACCCAAATCATTCACCGAAGTCACCAAAATGTGAGTATGTTAGAAAAACTGTGATTTTTTCTGAAAACTTTCAGCAACAGATAAGATGCTCCATTATCAGATATCATGAGGAAAGTACATCTTTATGCCTACAATGTGTGTGAAGTCATAAATGTCATAATACCGTATAGCATGAGGAAATGCATCTCTATGCCTATATGCCAAGTATGCATGTCAAATGTAATGCACCACAGTGATAAACTCATATGCTCATGCTCTCGGAGTATTCAACCTCACTCAGCATGCTCAATCACTCAGCACCTCCCAATCACTCAACACTCTCAATCACTCAGCTCCTCCCAATCACTCAGCACACTCAATCACTCGGCACTCGCACTCTTCGGTACTTGCGCTCACTGCTGTTATGTTAGACTCTGGAGGGGTAGATCCTGCCCAAGCGCTAAAAAAAGCCAATCATGGCATGTTGCAGTGTATAGCCCGATCCCATAATGAATCAATAAAGCTTGATGCGGCGTGCAGCCCGACCCTATAAATATCACTCACAATCAGGCCCTCAGCCTCACTCAGTCATCTATCTCTCCAGTCTCTCGGGCTCACAAATCTCATGCCAATCAGCCAAAACAATGATAACATGATGTGACAACGAATGATAATAGAGACTGAGATATGATATGCAAATAAATGAATATGACTAAGTATGTAATTGCAATTTAAGCAAATAACTCAACAACAGAAATGACCTCAGTGGGTCCCAATAGAATAAGTGTATGGCCTAAACATGATTTTTAACATGGATCACAACTCAATTACTCTAATACGTACGAATTTTATGGATAGAAACAAGATAGAAAACTAGACAGTACCACATGATCAACCGAGTCATAATTCATACAGTGCACGCCACACGACTGTCACCTAGCGTGTGTGTCACCTCAACACCAAATGCATAACACATTTATTCATGGTTCATACCCTCAGCACCAAATTTAGAAGTGTTACTTACCTCGAACAGGCCAAATCCAATACCGAGCAAGCCAAAACATATTTTACAAATGCCATCCCGTGCGTACTGACCTCCGAACGGCTCAAAACTAGCCAAAAGAACCTCAAGAACATCAAATAACGCCAAAGGAAATAAATCCAATCGATAAAGGTTGAATCTTTAATCAAAAGCCCAAAGTCAATCAAAAAGTCAAAGTCGGGATCGTACCTTGAAATCCGACCAATCTCATAAAATACAATAAACTATTCGACTATGAGCCCAACCATACCTGTTTTACTTAAATCCGACTCCAAATCGATGTTCAAAACTCAAAAAAATCACTTTATGAAATTTTAGACAAAACCCCCCAAACTTCACTTTGAAATCATCAATTAAATTCCAAAAACAAAGAGGGATTAATGAAATATAACTAAAACTGAGTATGAAATACTTACCCCAATCCATGTGGTTAAAATTGCCTCTAAAATCATCGAAATCTGAGTTCCTCAACTCAAAATATGACCAAATAAACAAACTCTCAATATTATATGTTTTTGCCCAGCTGTTCTACCTTGTTTCTTATGACAAATGATCCCAAAACTCACTTTTAATGCCTTTAGTTGATTCCTCGTGAAATTCCAGACAAGTTAGGCTTTTGAATTACTCTATTTGACCTTATAATGAAGGAGATATGTTGGTTTCAATATTTAAAATAGTGCAGATTTTTAAATACAAATTTAGTGGCAATTTCATAATTAATCTGAAAAAAATCTGCCAACCCAAATTTTAGTGAATGATCATAAATTCCTCATATGATGTCGAAACTTGATGATTCCAATTGCTATGGTTCCAAAATTACGATACAGATATAATGGTTTAGCCGAAACACGAATCAAAGGTCGTTTGCTCAATATGGTAACTTTTATGCTCAAATCGACGTCGAAACTGAAAACAATCACCATACAACCCAAACTTATCCAAAACTCATCGGAATTTAGCTAAACTTTGTGGACATGTCCAAAATCATCATTATACAAACTTATTGGAATAATTAAAACCTGATTCCCAGTTCGTTTACCTAAAAGTCAAACCCTGGTCAATTCTTCCAACTTAAAGCTTCTAAAACGACAATTATGAAGCTACTCAAAGTCTCAAACTNCCCCCCCACTTAAACATACGCTCATCCTCGAATGTGCCAAGAGTGATTTCAAAGCCATCAAATCGCCATATATCCTCACCATTCACATAACCATGGGTGATCCCGCATCACCCCAATCCACAAAAGCCCGATAACACCACCTAACAAAGGATCCTTACTTCAACCTTATTCCATAAACCTTAAAACA